AGGTGCTTTAGACTACTGAGCCATCTCTCCAGCCCCTGGGGCCATAGAAACTTTGTTCTTCTCTTCCAAAATAATTTTCCCATCAAAACTCATAACAGGTAACATTCCCTGCTGAAAAAAAAATTGCATTCTCTTTTTTTAAACCAAAGTACTTGTGCTTTGTGAAGAACTCCTGTGTTGCTTCCATTGCTCTGCCACTGGTCATTATATACCATGGAAGGATGCATTTGTTGCCATAATATTTTTCAGCTAGCAGTTGTAGCTTCAAGATACGTTGTGCCTGAATCTGAAAAAGTGTCTTATGGGTTGGTAAGCCACCATCATACATCCCCTTGGGATACGCAACTCCAAGTCTTGTTCCCTGCCCACCAGCTAGTAGGAGAACTGCTACTGTGTTCTGAGAAATCTGGAAAAGTCTTTCACTTTCCCAGGCCTGCAGCTGATCTTGATTCATCGTGGCACTGTCCAGCACCTCTCGAGGGAGAGGTTTCATTCGCGCATCTACTTTCTCTTGATGAGAAGACTGGTTAATCCTTCAACAGCCTTTTGGAAAAAGAAATTCAGCTCCTCAAAGTTCATGGCCTGAAGCTCCGCATAAAGTTCTACCTGGTGGGCTTCTTCCAGCCCATTCCAGAGCTGCAGCAGGTGTTCTTGCCCAGCTTTGAACAATCTGTGTCTGAGGTCATTAATATTCATAGTGCCTGGGTGGCCAAGCTTTATGAAACCAGGAGTGTGATACTTGCACCCGTGAACCTCCCTCCGCGCGACTGCGGCTCCACCGGCTACAGCTCCCTCAGCTAGGCCACTCATCTGAGTCCCGGACCCGCCCGAAATATATACCCTCATCCGGGGCCCGGGGCAGCTGGGCAGGCCGGGAGCGGGGTCGAGGGCAGCGCCACCCCAGCTTCCCCGCCCCTCTCGCCGCTCTCACATCTATGTTTTGCAAGTATGAAAAATAGCAGACCAAGTAAGCTGGAGGAATCTCCCCTTGAGCCAGATCCCGAGTGAATGGGAAATGGGAATTACATGATTTCCTGAGTCAGGAAAGCAAGTGGCAGTGCAGGCATCATATTTCATTGTGTCATTTCACTGTAGGAAGATAATTTGTTTTTCATAAAGACAGCACCCAACATGACCCACCACTTCCTTTGATGCATCACTAGAAGAAGGTGATCTGTTCCCTTGAGAAAGCGAAACTTGCTATATGCATCAGTCTCTAAAAAGACACTTCCTAAGCACTTGCCATGGTAGGTTGAGCCTTGTGTGATTGCTGCCTGGCTCTCAGGCTCACACCTAGCTCTATCATAATCTACGATTCCACCGGATGCTGTCATGGAAATGCAGGGCTGGGGTAGATGAAAGTCTACTGACCAGTGTTGCGGCTCTGAGACAGCTGCAGTTGCAACCGCCTTGTTCTCTGGCCTTGTGAGCACGAAGGGATCCACCTGGCCAGCAGAATGAGAACCTCATCCAGTGTAGTGTCCTACACCCACGTGTTTTACCTGGTCCACCTCCATGACAAGTGGTGGCTTCCTCACACTGGCCTGGCCTGCCAGTGCTTGATTGTCATTCTACCTTGGAAAAACAGCCTTGACCAGAAATTCAGAGATTGGAGTCCAGGTCCTGATTCTGTCCTCCAGGAGCTGCGTGGCCTAGGACAAGTCACACTCTTTCTCTGGGTTAGTGAACTTCACCTGGGAGGGGTTCTAGTGCCCTTCTGCCCTAGAATGGATATGTCTCCTTGGCTTGTGAATGTGTCCTTGTGACTTAGGAGCTTGGGCAGGGCTTAGGACAGGTCTGTTAGATCGGGGTGGAAATGGCCAAATATATGTGAAGTTTAAGTTTCAGAAAATGATCTCTCCTGTTTGTTTGGCTCTGCTCTCAGAAGCCCAGTGGTTGTCTCTGCCATAACACATTGCAAGACACAGTATTGTTTTGTAGTGTACCTGCCAAAAATGCATGAGCTGAATCCAACCATGAGGAGAAGCCAGGCAGGCTCCAACCTAGGGACATTCCCCATAACTGGCCTGGACTCTTCAAAAGTGTCAGTATCATGAAAGTCTAAGGAACTGCTCTGGATTAAAGGAGATAAAGAAACACAGCAACTAAATTCAGTGTAGGATTACAGAATTTTCTTTTGCCATGAAGGATTTTATTAAAAAAGAATGAAATCTACATAAATTCTTAGTGTTGGTGTCCTGATATTGTTGTGTATGTTTATACAAGAAATAATATAGTGTGCATAGTTAAGCCTTTGAAGCCAGGTATAGTGGCACACACTTGTTATCCCAAAATTCAGGAGGCTAAGCCCAGAGGATTGCTGCAAGTTCAAGGCCAGTCTGGGCTACATAGTGATTTCAAGACCACCCTGAACTACATAGTGGAATATATATATATATATATCTTTGTTTTTAGGAAAACCCACTGAAATATTTAGATATAAAGGGGCATCACATCTGTAATTTAAGACAATTCAGAAAAGATGTGCATTTTATTTTTAGTGTATTTGTATGTACATAAAGTGAGATAAAGACACAAATGGAAGGTAACATTGGGAAAACTGGGTTAAAGATCTACAGGAATTCTCTGTCCTACTCCTGTGACGTGGCACAGAGAAGATGGCCAGTGGCTGCCCCTTTGCTCATCAGTGAGTGCAGCCACTTGTCTTTTCTGAGCACTTCTAAGGCACCAGATGATCTTCCTTGCACAGGATGTCACAGTGCCACTTTGCAGAAAGGGAATTTGACATCACACCTGGAAAGCGACTTTTCCAAGCTTCGTGGCCCACAGCCTCTGGAATGTATTTCAAAGAGCTGGGGTGAACTTGAGCCCTCACTGAAAGAAACTCACAAAGCCTCACACACTATCTCTGAGGCTGTGCAGAAAACCTGGCTCCTTTATTCTTTTCAGAATACAGAACTAAATTTAGTTCCATTCAGTTTGAGACTTGGTGCAGTTCTCTAATCTAAACATCCACTTGAGGTTTCCTGATTCAGAGAGGTTTGCTCTCTTTGCTCTAATTCCTAACATTTTCCAATTCCTCCTCTCCTCCCTCAACCCTCTCAAACACTGTATCTGGGGAAGGGTGAGGCAGTTGCCTGGCCTGGTACTGGCCGGCATCTGCTAGGGTCTGGGAGGCTTGGCCTGGAACGAAGAATAGGCACTGGCTTTCCACTACAGCCAGCTGTTTCAGCCCCTCTGACTCCTCAGAGCCTAATGGTGATACCAGGTCAGTGTCATCTCAGAGTGTCCATGTGGCTCTGTAGACCTCTCAGGGTTCTTTGATAGCCTCTATCTAAACTCTAGGTCTCACCTTCCAGGAAATGTGGATCAGCAAGCCCGAGTATGACAAAGCAGCTCCTCCACTGTCCACAGGAAGTGCTTCTAAAGTCAGAAAAGTTTCCCAAGAATCCCCTTGAAACTGCTGTCCTCAGTCATGACACATTAAAACCTACAATACTTAAGAAAATAAAATAAAAAATAAACTCTAGGTCTCCACTCCCACTATGAACCCATATCATGGCTCCTAAAATAGTTTCTTGTCCCTCAGTTTGGCATGTGGACCACCTAGGAACCAAGAAAGGAAGGCTGGCTTTGTGTTTGAGGTCAACCAGTGCCCCCATGCTGGTTGGTAAATAGCTGTTCCCAAGCCCCTCGGAAACTCCCTGCTCCTCCAGCTGTCTCTGGCAAGTCTGTAAGTTCTTCTCAGACCAGAAACAGAGGGGTTAGCCCCTGGCACAGCAGGTGACTCCAAAACTGCTCCAGGCAATGGAGAGATAGCTCAGCAGCATAGGTGCCCACCTGACATGTGCAAGGTCCTGAGTTTGATTCCCAGTACCAGAAAACAAAAACAAAAACAAAACCTGCTCCTGCTACCACATCCACATTCCTGCCCAGAAGTTTCTTAAATGTGCCTGCCCTTCCTTAGCCTGAACACACAGAGGCAGAATCCACTCATCCACGTGTACCCAGGACAGCACTCTTCCTGAGAGCCTCAAAGGACACTAGACAAAGGCCTCGATGTCCTTTACCTTACCCAACATTCTGCCCTGTTTTGGCTCTGTCCCAGAGGAAAGATGCGCAGAGGCTGGAAAAGCAAAACCCCTTTCCAACATCTCTGACATTGAGAGTGGCCATGGGACACAGAGTCCAGAGAAAGTGCTGGCCTTCTTCGTGCAAGGCGTGGTAGCTGACAACCCTTTCCCTTCCAAACAAGGACGTGAGACCTGAAGTCTTGCTGGTTGTATTGTGACCCAAGAGGATTACAGAGTTGCTTGCCCGACATGCTGGCTCCCTACCTCTAAATATTTTTATGTGAGAAAAATCAGCAAGGGCTAATTGTTTCTTGTTTGTTTCAGAAGTGTAATCCTGAGGGTTTCAGGGGAAATAAACTACATATCTGTCTTTCTACCTCTCAACTCTATTCATCGTTTCTCCATATATTCCTGTTCCATGGACCCATAGGCCTGGTAGAGGCACAGTCTCCTCTTCTACTACTTTCTGCTTATGTGAAAATTGCTTCATAAAATTCTTACAATCCATTTCACTGAGCAACCTTTTGAAGTGCTAAAATAGGAAATAAAGGAATGCAGAAAAATCCTTCCACTCTCCAAGGGGCCACCATGCAAACCTAACATGTTATCTCATTCTGGTGCCACGTGCTCATTATTGACTCCACTGGTATTAACTCGTACTGCTACCAACTCATTATTAATATCAACTCGTTATTATTGACTCTCCTAGACTCTACCTTCCTTTTTGCATTCTTCCTGTGAAGTCCTAATCTTCCGCTCTAATAACTATCCTCATTTTATGGATGAGGAGATTGAGGGGGTTTACAGAGGCTGAGTAAGTGTTCCAGAGTTGGACCTGGGCAGGACCAGACCATTTACAGTAGTAATCATGCCCACTCTCCCCAGGCACCTTCCCTCCCTTCACCAACCATCCCTCCCACACCCTGGAATTTGACCCAGCCCATAGGGAGGAGAATGGAACAAAGAGGAGGTTGACATCCTGTGTTTTATTGGAGAGCAAGGGTGCCTGATCCAGAAGTAGCTACTCATCTTCTGGCTTGGGGGGACGCGTGGGCTGGAACAAGTAGGAGAGACAGCACAGGGAGGAATCCGGGCACAGGTGCATGAAGGATTCTTGTCTCGTGCAGTATGTCCGGCAGGCCCCTTGGCCTTTCCAACATCGTTTGAATTCAGTTCTCCCTGTGTACAGGAAGACCACAAATCACAGAGCAATCACAACACTGGTCACAGGTTAGGCCACTGGTTAAGCCACAGTGGTCATAAGTTCTTTCCAGTCATTTGTTAAACCACTGATCATAGATGCAAGTTCCAGTTACAGTTTAGGCCACAGACTTCAGTTCCAGTTATCTCACAGATCATAGGTTAAACCACTGGTTACAAGTTGGAGGCCACTTTCTTGCCCAGGTAATACAATGCACCAGGTACACCCTCAGCACTTTTTGTAGCAACACTACATCATTTCAGTTGGTATTATTACAGCCCCTGCCATGCAGGTAAGGAAACAGGCCTGAGAGAGGTTAATAACCCTACCCCAGGTTACACAGCCATTAAGAAGCAAAACCAGAAAGGGCCAGGGAGATAGCTCAGTGGCATAAGCACCTGCCTGGCAAGTACAGGGTCCTGAATTCAAGCTCTGGTTCCAAAAAGAAGAAGGAAGAGGAGGAGGAGGAGGAGGAGGAGGAGGAGGAG